CCCCAAAACCCCAAAACCCCAAAACCCCAAAACCCCAAAACCCCATTTGTTAAGAATTAAATTGAAATATTTTCATATATGTCTTCGACAAAACTCCAGGCTTCCCTCCTCAACAGGAGGAAGAGGAAACTCAAGAAGAAAAGGGTCCCTCCAATGACGGTTATTATTAAGAATACCACGAATTTGATTATTAATAATAATCCTGCCCAGAAAACTCCTAAAAAGACCCTGAATGGTAATAGAGCTATAGGAAATTACACTTTAGTTTTCCCAAACATGATCATTAATAAGTACGAAAGACAGCGAGAGCGGTCAATTGATCTCCCGAAATTTAGGTATGATGATTTGGACGTCTGTCCTGGGGTGGACTCCTGGCTGAGTTTAAATGTATATAGTCACTTTAAAAAGACTCATAATGATAACACTTTCCGACCGCAAGATGTAAATAGTCAGAATAATGTATAGAAACCTAAGATTCATTCATTAAACCGACAGAAGACAGCTCCTCGCAAGAGCAAACAGTCTTCAAAATTTTTTCAGAAAGAAGCTACTAAAATTCCTGACTTTGAGCCTTACAAGAACATAAACCAGAATAACACAGAGAAATAAGTCTGAAGAAGTTTACTTGTTCAACTCTGTATTGAATCCAGGTAAGAGTCTCACTAACATTTGTAGGGAAAGTTGTGCTAAAATAACTGAGTTAACCCGATAGGCAATCTCACCCAGCCAATCAGCATTGACGAAATCATGACTCTGCAAAAATAAGATCAAAGAGATCAGGAATTGCCAGCTCCAGAATTTGAAGTTTAGGATTAACACAATCAAAGTACCCAAACATCGCTTCTTTCCGAAGAAGAAGTGTAACTATCATTAGTTTATTACATAGGCCGAAGATCCCGACAGAGGAAAAATCGAAAGTTGATGCAGCCGCAGGAACTTAAGATCACCAATATGAACTTGACCTTCACTAAGAGTCCGGAGAAATCCAAAATCACTCACAACCCTGCTGAAGGACCCAACATAAGTACGAGTCGGTCTCACCTCTAGCGAGCAATGACAGCCAGTCGAACATGAGCACAGCGTGGAACGCTCAGAAGTCGTCAAAGTCTCTGACCAAAAAGACGATTTATTCAAAAATAAATAACAACGTGGTTCAGGTGGAAGATGGCTCCAGCTGAAGAAGCTACAACACTGGTGGCCAAGCTGCCAGTGAGGTCAAGGGAGGGACCAGGAGAGTTAGGCACACTGCCTACAGCCACTACAAACATGAGAGGGGTGGGTCAAAGAGCTTTAGAAGGCAGAGGAGACCCAAAACTGGCAAATGAAGGATTGAATAAGCTCGTGAATTTTCAATTTGAAGTACAGAAGAGGGGTTTTGGGGTTTTGGGGTTTTGGGGTTTTGGGG